GCTGTCCGGACCTAAAAATCGGTCTCGAACAAGACCTAGTGGCAGAACCGACCAACCAGTCAGCGGCCCACCGCCCCCACCCCCGTCGATAGGCAGGCCTCGCATACCTTGCGTGAAAATGGGGGCACGTGCAACAACCCGCTTTGTTGTTGTTGTGTGTTTTTTTCAATGTTTGGCCTTTGACATTCTGTAGGTGGCTGTACGCCCGTTTGGCTGTACGCCCGTTTGGCTGTACGCCCGTTTGCCTGTACGCCCGTTTGGCTTTCCGCTTGCATTTGGTGGGCCAAATGACTAATTAATTTTTTGTCCTTTAAAATTCCAATAAAAATATTTAAAAATTCATAAAAATTTCTAAAAAATTTTAGAAATGACTTTTCATATCTCCATCTACTTTCCTATAAATGCCTCCATAGGAAATGGAGGAGAGCACATTCTCTTGTGCCAAATCAAGTTTTCCTTTGGATTGGTAGCTTGGAGAATATTGGTGATGAGGCTATCCAACAAGTTTACAAATGAAAGATATCGTGAAGACACAATTTTGCAAATATAGCAATTGTTGGGAAATTGATGGAGTAACCAATGCATCCAAAGTTACCCCATACATTCCTCATCAAAAAAATGAAAAGAGAAAATCATCTAAATCAATTGAAGCGTGATATCTATTGTTATGGGTAGATTCTTCTACTATGAAGGTTTTCTTATTGAGAATTCTATAGACCTTATCTATAGATGAATAACCTAAGAAGACTCCATTGGATTTCGGATCAAATTTTTCTAAGGGTGATTTTTCGTTGATCAAGATAAAATATTTACACCCAAAGACATGTAAGTAAGAAAGACTGAGTGTCCTACCCTTAAGGAACTCATAGGATGTCTTATTTAACTTGTATCTACTATTCACTATATTTAAAATATAATAAACAATATTTACTGCTTCTTCACAAAAGTATACCAGGTTAGAATATTCAACTAATATGACCACCCTAGCATCTTCCACTAAAGTTCTACTCTTTTTTTTTTTAACTATTCCATTTTGTTGAGGAGTCATAGGGGCAGAAAAGTTATGCTCTATCCCGATCTCTTGAAAATATGATTCAAATTAGCTAGAAGGTGGGGGAGCTTCGTACAGGTATGCGAAGCGGGTGCTGGCTGTTGAGTGAGTGTGAGGCCGTCCGCGGACCACATGTGGGTGCTGGGAAAGTGCGGGGATGACCACGTGAGGGCGCTAGGCAAGAGCGAGGACAACCATGTATAGGCGCGGGTTAGTTGGCACGACGAATTAACAAGTGAACGAGCGAATGAGGGATGGACCAAGATCGCGATGCCACGGTGGATGAGACAAACAGATCATTCCAGGTTTATTTTGGGCTTATGGATTGACCCAAACCGACTCGATTTTTTGTAATCAGGATACAATTTGAAACCTAAATTGATCCGTTTTCCAACGGGTTGATCTGAACCCTAAATTTCTAGATTATGTTTGGGTCATGTTTTCGAGTCATGTCAAATATTAACACCCCTACTCTTTATATCTTGCATTCCATACTTCTATATACTTACTCTTACTCTTTTACTTCATACTCCAAACATATTGATTATTATTATTATTTTGGTATATGAAGTGTAATCATACCTTGAAATCTCCTTTTAAGTATTGAAGTTATGACCAACTCCACATCTCCAAAGAAATCAACAATGTTAGGTGTTCAGCTTATACACTGATGATGATAATAATAATGATTTACCTGGTTCCTAAATTTCATAAGATGCTGATTCAGTACATTTATAAAATCTTTACAGCCACATTCTATGTTTAATTTATCATAAATTTTTAATAATATGCCAGAATATCCATACACATCCATACAGTCCCTAACTAATATAACAAGTATCCAAATAAGAAAACCTCAAATAAACACCAGCAAAAGTAGTGGTTTGAACGTTCCCGCCATCATCACAATAACTACAATCTGTTAAACTACTATATATATATATATAAATGAGAGCCCTTTGGCTTATTGGCTTCTCCGATCACGTCCAGAAAGCAATTAAGGATCTTTTCTAACACATGATCAGCAATTTGGAAACCTTCTACCTTACAGAAGCCTATTTAAGGTAACAACTTGGCCTCCAGATGATGATGATGACCACCACCACCACTACTGAACATTTTGCAATGAAAACTAAAACAATTCTGTATTTCCAGGGGAAGAACTCAAACAATTTTGTACCCATAAACTCAACGAAATTCGCAAATTTCTCACAGTTGACCAGAATTGTGCTAGATCACCATCAACTGGCTATAGGCAACAAACACAACTTACTATTATGAGATTAATATTTGACAAAAAGGACAGGTCATGTGACAATATGAATATCAATGCTTGAACTTTAATATGTTCAGCAACAAATGCTAAAATATTGGCAAGCTCTTACAGAAAAAAATTATGTTAGCTACGAAGACATTCTAAATTTTCTAAGCACTGATCAAGATTAACTAAAATCATAAGGAATAGGCCAAAATAGCCAGTAGCACACAACCAAGAAATACCACAATTCCAGAGCAGGTATACCTGGTAAACTGAATATTCCTGGTGCCGTATGAAACTAAAGAAAAGCCTGAAACTAGGCTGGGAGTATGGTTGAGAAACTCTAACGCGAAATAAGAGCTCAATGGAGTTAATTAATCTAAACTCAAAAGGAATACATTGAACAAATAACGTTTTATAGTTTGGTTAGAGCACCACTCAAATATTTACCAACGTTTAAAATGCATATATAAAACTTGAATTATGGAGGTCAACCTTAGAGTCTAAAGGCTTTCGTTTTAGTAGATCTAAAACTGAATATATGGAGTGTAATTTTAGTAATAAATTAATAATAGATCTAGTGGGGGGATTGTGACTTCGGGCGATCAAGTCATTAATAAGAGTACATATTTTAGATATATTGGGTCTATTGTTCAGAGTGATGGAGAAATTGATGGGGATATTATTAGTATAATTCAAATTGAATGGTTGAAGTGGAGGAATTCATCAGGCTTGTTGTGTGATAGAAAAATTCCTCTTAAACTTAAGGAAAAATTCTATAAGATGGTAGTGAGAACTATAATGTTTTATGGTATAGAATGTTGGCCATTAAAAGAGAAGCATAATATTAAATTAAGGGTAGAGATGAGGATGCTCCGGTGGATGAGTGGCTTTAATCTTAAAGATAGGATACAAAATGAACATATACGTGAAAAGGTTGGAGTAGCTCCAATGGAGGATAAGATTAGAGAGTCACCTTAGATGGTTTGGTCACATAATACGGCGGCCTTCCTATGACCTGATTAGGGAAGTAGATGTATTAGATTTGACTTATATTGAGAAGGGTAGAGGTAGATCTAATAAGACTTAGTTAGAATATTAGAAATGATATTTCTTTATTAGATTTAGATGAGAATTTGACTCTTAATAGAACATAGTGGAGAAAAAGGATTCATGTAGCCGTCTTCACATAGTGGGATAAATGCTTGTTATTGTTGTTGTTGGTAAATTTATACCCCATAATATCTAATGAAACCTTAGGTGAATCGCGAAGTGGATTGAGAAAGTAAATTTCAATTCATTATATTAAATTTGAATGAGAAAAGTTCAATGAATATGATGTTATACAGGTAATGTGACTTTTATAGGTAATTCATACATTATCTGAGTACTGCATTAAGTTTATAATTTAGTTACTGTTGCATTTGTATTTGCGTTGTTCATAGCAAAACATTGGAGATGTTCTGATATGTGAAAAAATGCACTCTTTGATATGTTATAAAGGCTTGTATGTTATGTTCGGGCCTCATCTGCCTAGTGTGGATGTGGGACAGATTCCAACTCCACTTGCTGAAAATAGATGTGCAAGGTTATGACACTATTGTGTTCTAATTTTGGCCCAATTTGCTAGATGCAGGTGAGAGGCTAAATGGAGGCATAAGTAAAAGTGGAGTTATAAGAAAGCATCAGGACATCTGTATTATAAGCATTCCATTGCATATATTAATACTTTAAATAAATTAAGAATAAGTAATATTATGAACTAAATGTTATATTTCTCGAAATTCTAGATAAACTCCGATGAAATGTGAAAGTTAAGTGCAAGTAAACCTCTGACAACAAGGGTTCAGTGATGCATCTGAAAACTCTATAAAAGTAGCTTCAAAGATATAAGTAAGAACTTTGAAATCAAATACACACTAAAACTCAAAAAAATCATGCTCTATTAATACTTTATTTATTCTTTTACAAGTCATTATATTTGTTTTAATTAATTAACTACTATGTAATATTTTAATTTGGCTATTGATATCTATAATAGGTACTGGGAAGAAGTCTACTGAGCTGATTAGGCCCAACCAAGTAAAAAGGTGTAGAGGCCAACTTTTTTGAATCTAAGTGATTAAGATATTTTTTTGTAATCCAGTTTTAAATCCTTTTGATGAAATAAAATATGTTGAGTTGCTTTTATTATTTGGATTGTATAGTAACTCTGGTTGTTCCTATTGATAGTTGAGAGTTGAGACGTTAAATTCTAAGTTTAGAATTTCAATCCTATAATTAGATCTTAGGGCGTCACACAATCTAAGTGAAGTACCAAAGAAGATTACTACAAAGATAATCATAGTAGAATGTACCCCAAGATACTTCTAGGGGCTTTATCAGAAATCTCAAAATAATTATTCATGCATACTCATCTTTGTACTACTTTTAAACAAACTGATTAATATGACCACATAACTAAAAAATATATTTATAATCTCTCAGGGACTTCTCTTGTCGAAAAATACAACAAATTCTGAGGCACAAATAATTGGATCAACAATGACATAGCAGAAATTAAAAGAGAAGCAAATATAACTAATGAGCAAGGCTAATAGATTATGATCAATTGAAGTAAAGACTGGAAAGGACTAACGAATCATCCATGAATGATCTTAAAAAACAACAAAAAGTAAAGAAAAATCTACCTGAATTAATGCTAGAATAATATAAATTATAAGGAAATAACCAAGAATTAACAAAAGATAATTGAAGTACAGACGAAGAAGGTGAAAGCTTCTTATTCACCCCAAAAGGACAATTAACCCTTGTGCTCCAAAAGTAAACAATAACCCAATCAAAACACAGATCTTTCTTCCAGCCTAAACGAGTCCATCGTGTTAGAAAAAAATCTACTCACATTGCATTACCGCATACTAAAAGTGCCTTTTTCTTTGTCAGAACTGCAACGTCGTTCGTTAATTCCCCATAAATCTCTGAACCATGGTTTCAACGATCTTTCGTTGACAATCCAAAATCATTTCCGTTCGCTTCAATTCCATCTCCATCCTCATTTTCTCCATCTCCCTCGATACATCCATCTTCATCTGCTCCATCCTCAAAAACCCCTCCCCAAACACACCGAGGGCAGCAACCAAATCCCCGATCCCACCCTCAACACTCCTCATCCTCATCCTCAACCTCTTCTCCTCGATTCTCCTTCGCATCTCCTCCAACCCCGGCTTGATAGCAGCCCTAGGGCTCGGCCGGCACCCCACGATCTTAGAACGCACAGCCTTGGGGATCGTGAACCGGAGACCTCCGGCTCCCTCTGTCTCCGCCGCTGCGCCCCGCTCCATGGCGTCCATCTTGCGGAAGTAAAGCCAGGAGGAGAGTGATCGCTGCTTCTCGGATCGGTAGCGCTTGCGAAGCTTCTCGATTTTGTGGCGGCACTGAACGGATGTTTTGGGTACAGCGGAGGAAGAGGGGCACTCGCGGGCGACGGTGGCAGCTACGTCGTCCCAGTGGGAGGCGCGGAGATTTCCACGGCCGAGGGAGAACCACTTATCGCGGTAGGCGTCGATAAGTGCTAGGGTTTCTCCGTGGGACCAGCAGGGAGGGGGGAGACGGCGGGATGAGAGAGAGGGAGGGGGAGGGGGAAGGGCGGCGAACGGGAAGGGGGAGGCGTCGGCACCAGCGGCAGCGGAGGAGTAAGAGGGGGAAGCGGAAGCCATAGAAGGAGGCGGCGGCGGCGGAGAGAGTGGGGAGGGCGTGGGTGCGATGGGTGGAGGGATTAAGAGGGCTGAGGATCTTAGAGAATTTGGGAAATGGGATCGGGACACCGCCCGAGGGAGGGGAGGTTAGGCTGCGGCGCGACCGAAGGGTTGAGCCGCCCGAGCGAAGGAGCACGGGAGAGCGCGGTGGCGCCCTCCACCATGCCATGGCGGTGTCTTGACCAGTTGGATAGCCGTCCTGTATCTCCGTCTAGGTGCCGTTGGTTTAAGTTTTTTCCGAGTATTTTTTTCTTTATAATAAAGGAATACCGAATATTAAATTACAATGTATACTAAAAAAAGCAATTTAGGGCATTTCCAATCGAACTCCAAATGCTTAAATGACGTCCCTCGTCAGCTCAAGCCAAACGGTAAAACTTTCACTATTTGATTGCGGGTGAATAGTGAAACTCCAATATTGACATTGCACTGTTCATATGTCATCTTTATGTCTCTACCGAATTTGCCGCCCTAAAGAAGAGACAACCGTTACCTGTAAAAGAGGAAAAAATGGAGTTCGACTAGAGATGAATGACGGCATTTTTTAGTTTCACAATATTTTGGAGTGAAAAATGAGATTTTCGATTAGAGATGCTCTTAGAATGAAAACTAGTTTTTATGCTCCGATATTTCATATCATGTATATACAATTTTTGAAACGCATTCAATAAATTAAATATATTTGGGAATTTAAATAGAAAATATGCGACTCTAAAATTTAAATTTTCACAAACAAGAATAACACTTTACTATGAAGTAATGACGAAAATTTTAAAAATTTTGACATTGTCGAAAAGATTTAGGTGGAGCTTCTATATTATTACAAACATTTGTTTACAAGACGTAATCTGATATTTCATTTCATGACAAGCTTAAATGATTCTTATAAAATAAATATAAATTTTACGCTCAATATTTTTTCTCCAACCATGTTCACAAATTTATTCGGCATAAAATTTCAATATTTATTGCAATACTCTAATAAAATAGGATAAAATGGTGGCCCCTGTAAACTTTTAAAACCATCATCTGAACTATAAAAAGCTAGAATGTTGATTTTTATTGTAAGAACCAATAAAACTTTGTTCGGTTTATCCAGTTATAATATATCCAAGTTGGCTACAAATTTTTTTCCCTACATTTAGTTAATAATTAGCTAGATATCCTTCTTTGCAAATAGCATTACCATCAGGACATCTGAATTGTAAGAGATAACAATTAGCTAGTTAAATATGGACATGTCAAAGACCTCATGTACTCTTTTGGAGTGGGATAGTCGACAAAAATTATGGTCATGGTGTAATCTTTGGGTGTGTGGTTATAATGGCACAGAAATTTTGCGCAATTTACATAGGAGGCTAAACAGAGTTATCTCGATATACTCTAATCATAGAATATCCTGTAGAGGCATAGCAAGAAGTTGATCAAATTATCAGCCTTCACTATTAAAAATAATCATAAAATATTTATCAAACATCCTTAAGTATGCAATTTGAAACAGACACTCCTGTCGAGGATGTGTTGCACAAAGGCCATTCAAGATGAGATTGATCTAATTGATGACTGCACATACTTGCGAGAGATGACTAATTTTTTTATGGACTTACTTCTCTAACATGTTTATTTCCTTTTCTGTAAATAGCTGCATAGACTAACCATTCAAACTCAGGATGTAGTCTAATAATCCAACATTCAGACTGAATTCAGGAATAAAAAAAAATACTAATCAGAAAAATGGTTTCACAACGCTCAGAAAATAGCTGATCAAGGATAAATGTCAAACTCATTCGTTTCATTTTCGAGCATAACATGCACAAACGGGTGAAGTTCCAAGCTACACATGAAAGATTTGATCTACCTGACACAATCTGCGTCGCATCTATCAGATCAATGCAACAAGTTTTACTGGCTCTTCTGGGTTTTAGCCCTAACAGGTCTACCCGGTTTGATAATCTTCCCCAGTAGAATAAACAAGATGGGAACAATGGTGCCAACGAAATACACGCTCTTGTAAGAAGCAAGTGTTTCTTGCATGCTCAGCACCTTCAAGAAAGGAAGAAAAATTAGTATAATCATGACTCACAAGGTTTAAATTCCCACAAATAATTTACCAAATAAAAGCCAAAAAAAGGTGGGTCTAAACGAAAAATAAGAAACAATAATATTAGACTTGTATTAAGAAAATTACCACAAGGCTGGAGACTTGTATTTTTAAGAAAAGAATAAACTGCAGGAGAGAGTATACTGACCAGGAAACCAATGCAGGAGTAGTTCAGAACAAGTAGCGTGTAAAAGAAGTTGGTTAAGGTCAGTAACTTGCCAAGCAAAGCATTCTTTGGCGAAACAGCTTGTTGCCACCTGTAAATTACTGTTTGAATAGAATACAGAAAGCAACACGATTCATTAAGAAAAATTCAAAAAAATCAGTCTAGCTAAGACCTTCACAAGTCGAACTACTCCAAGCTATCATGTCAATTCAACAAGCTTTAATAACTCTGAGTTGAAATGAATATTTTGATGGCTTGGCGAGTCTAAGAACTAAACCATCCCTTCGCTAGTTCAGCAAGTCAAGGGATCTCGCAAGCTTAAGTAGAACTACTACAAACAATGGAAAAACTTACCTCGGGAACCTGCAATCATTAGGGCAGACTGAACGAAAAATATAATGTAGCCAGGATACAAACCCTGCATTTGGCCACATGAAATGGAAAGGTTAAATTGCATGGAAAAACGATCAGACCACGATCACAATAATGGAATACTTGCATGCCTTGCCTTTTGAACCTCATCCATATCTATGATCAAACATAGAGGTGCACTATGATCCAAAGATACGGACACGAACAAAGACAAGATAAGACAGAGATACATATTAGACATGAAATTGTGATTGTCATAGTGCACCTCTATACACACACATCATTAAAAATAAAATGTAGTACAGTGGTTTCACATCAAATAAACACAGAAATGCATACAACCATAACTCCTATGATAATTTTTTTTTGCAAGAGAAAAAGGTATTATAAAAAAGAGGCAATCTAGACAAATCAATAAATATTTCAATGGTTTCTTTTAAAATTAAAACCATCTAACTAGTCTTCAACTCTTAGGCAGTTCGTCACTCTCGCCATCATTATTTTACTGAACAACAACAGGCATGTCTGATAAGCATGCCCTTCATCTGTATTATTTTTTTATTAGGCACATTGGCGGGATGTGCAACATGTGCCGAATATGTGGTAAGCATGTGTCGTGTCTTTCATATCAAGCATCGCATAATATTTTAAAGTGTATCTGTATCATAAGAGATGTATGAAGCATGCAAGAAGTTTCTCCAAAAAGAGAGAACAATGACACTCACATGCCAAATAGCACTAACAGTCTGTGTAGCCAGCAGCTGAAGGAATCCAGGTTTTTTCCCTTTCTGAATCAGTCTGTCATAGACATCTGAAAATAGAAAAACGAAATAGGGGTTTACAGTGACTCACATTAAGCTTTGAGGCTTGTATAAATTTTAAAATTATAAGGTTTAAAATTTAGTCTTAACGACAGCAAAACAAAAATTCAAATTGCAATGGAGTGAGAAAAAAGTAATAGAAGACACTTAATTTTTCATTAATTTTACATTTTGATAATTCCACATGTACATGGTGATCAAAGTCATCAATTGGGATGGGAAAAAGAAAGAATTAGTAATGTCCATTAGAGGGTCAAGATTCAGTCCCTTTGCCTTCCTATCTTCCACGCCAAACTGCTAACGTTTTTTGCATAAAAGCTAGAAAGAAGAAAGGATGGATGGTAACATGACCCTGAACTTATCACGTTACTCTCTCGCTCTTACCATTTATTCTTCTCCAGTGTTCTCCCATTTCATTAATCCATCATACCATCTACCATTGTCTATTGTTCTTCCATTTCACTTCCCAGTGTTCTTCCATTCTTTAACCACAGCATTGATGCTGCATCTGGCTCGCTGGATCAATTCAGTAGAGTCATTATTAAGGAGTTTCCGAAGAGCATGCTTGAGGCCGAAGTAAAAATTCCTGATGGTACCAATTTTTTGAGACTTTAGTTTTGAATAGATACCTAAAGGAAAATACTCCGTGGTTAAGGGGTTATTTAGTTTGAAGTAAAGTGGAAGTACAATAATCATTTTACATAGGTTTTAAAAATATTAGTGTTTGGTTGGGTGAATAAAGAAAGCAAAGTAAAGTAAAAAGAATGTAATGTAAAGTATTTTAGTTCATTATTTAGATCAGCAAGCCCAGCTTTGAGGAAAAATTATTTTCATTGCAAGAAAGCTCCCTTACCTCCGCTAGCCGCCACTTGTCATTGCTTGCCACTGCCACCTTTCATAGCCCTCCAAGACAACGCCCATCACCTCCAGCTGCCGCCACCTGCCGACGTAGGCATTGCTACCGGCTATTGTCACAACCACCCACTGTTGACGTCCATCGCCACCCGCAGCCAGCCTCTGCCACCCCATGCCACCCGCCATCACCATCACCTGCCGCTACCCGCCGCCGACCACCATCGTCGCCATTGTCACTGATAATAATCGTCGCCACGACTATCAAATACCATTACCACTGGCAGTCACCACCTGTCACCACTTGCCTCCGTCGTCGCCCCTCCCTACCCGCACTAGCCAACCACTATTGTCGCATACCACCGCAATCTTTGAACTTTATATTGCATTCATTTTACTTCAAACCAAACGAAAAAAAGAAAAAAAACATTCACCTATATTTATTTCATACTCATCCAAACAATATCAAAATATTCATTTTACATTGCATTCCTTTTTCAGTCAACCAAATAGCCCATAAATAAAGCATGACTAATGACTAAGTTTCCCACATTGAAGAACTTGGGTCGATGGTGTTGATTAATTGCTTGCTTGTATTTCTGAGAACTTTAAGCCAACTTTGCTTTCACTTTCTCCAACATTGAATAAAAATTAATGGACATGTCCGCTAACAATTGATTGCCAGGCATTGGTATAACTGTGATGTCAATGGTATGATTAGGAGGTTTGGTGTACATATTACTGAAGGGCTATTGACCGGTGGCCATGGAGTTAATATGCATGCTCAACTTGGCTTAATACCATGTCCCATTGTTTTGGGAAATCCCAAGAAAGGCAATAGATCATATTGGTGAGCGTTCAGTTCACCACCACCATTTTCCCATCCGTTTACTAATGGTATTTGGAACTCATGCGGAGATTGGGGCTTAGGTGTCTTGTAAATTTCACGTCACAACCACATGCCTGTTCTCAGCAGTCCCAACACAAAATCCAAGCTAAGATCCTCCCAAATAGACTTAGCTTCCCAAATAGAACCTTGAATTAGTAACGTTTTAAACAATCCAATGTTATTGAAATGTACTTTTATAGGTTTGAAAAACATGACACTTGAATGTATCAACATACATCTCCTCGTAATTTCAGCCAAAAGAAATGGGAAGTAAAAATGCCAATGCCATATCCCTCCCAATACGCACAAGGAATAACCCAACATGCATATCTTGAACTAATTGAACTCAGTTGATTACTCGAAAATACGTATCCCCATTCTAAGGTGTAATAATCATTTGGACTTTTTTTTCTTTGCAACAAGTCCATGGCTCAGTGAATTTCGAATATGCAGAGTACTTGTCCTTCAGTAATTCAAGTCTTTAGTTTCGATATAAATGAGAAGACTATCTCTACGGCTTAGTGCACCTGCAACCGATTGCACTGGCCCATTTTATACTTCAAAACGAAGCTGAACTTTTGATAAAGCATCACCCATCAGATGTGTATTTAGCTCATATTTTCTATGTTTGTAGAAACTACAAAGATTGGCGATAGCTAAACAAAATAAAGTCCAAATGCATCCAATAATGCTCTAACAGTTTCAACATCCACATCACCGCATATAATTCTTATTCATGGGTCGACCACTGTTGACTTGTAGGACTCAATTTCTCACTTAAAAATTCAATTGGTTTGTCTTCTTATGATAAGACAATCTCAATTCCCCTAGTTGAGGCACAAAATTCAACTTGAAAAGGTTTTTCAAAATTGGGTAACACTAAGACGGGTGGCATGCATAACTGCTCTTTAATTGTTTCAAAATTGTGTTGTTGTTCGTCATCCCAAGAGAAGGGTTTCAGCTTTAAGTAGTCAGTAATGAGTGCCATAATAATGTTGAACCCTTTAGTGAAGCGCTTGTAAAAATTTTCCAAACCATAAAAGCTACAAAACTTTGTTAAAGTCATACACGTTGTCCATGACTAAATGATTGCAATCTTTTTTTCATTAGTTTGTATACCTTGCGCAATAAAGGAGGAACCTCGGGAAGTGTACATGACTTATAGTGAATTCACACTCTGCAAAATTAATATATAGCTTATCTACTCATAATTTATTGAATAGCTTCTAGAGGCGACTTAAGTGATCAACCATACGAGCAATAAATAAAAAATCATTAATTACACGAACTTGATTGGAACATTAAATAGATCAAATGGCATTACATGCCACTCATAAAGCCACTCCCTCATTTTGCAAGAAGTCTTCAACTAGCCTCCCGTACTATGTGAATTTGGTGATAATTACCGTGTAAGTGGAATTTGGAGAACATGTTAGCAACATATTTTATCCAACAAATCTTCAAGGAGGGGCATAAGAAACCATATTTCACTAGTAATTTGTAGATGGTTCTACCATCAATACAATTGCTAGATTCCCATTACAAGGTGGAAGCTAAAAACATGGGGGAGAGAATAATATAGATGAATTTTTCAGATTTTACTTATCATTCAATAATAATCCTCATTAACATTCATATTTCCTTGAGTATTTCCTCTTCGACAGGCCTCTTTCTCATGAGAAATATTCTATCCCTCTCTTCGACATTCCTCTTTCTCATGGGAATCTTCGTTCCTGTGACTTTTCAAGCCTCTCTCTGTAGTCAAAAAGGGAACAAATCTTGAAGCAAAAATATAATGCACTTTCTCTCTTGCATGAATCACAAATGTTCCTCACAGGTGAATCCAAGGAAGAAGATAAATTAAAAGAAAATGGATGGAAACCAAAAAGAAATTCTTCATCAAAATTCAACATCTAATTGACTTCAAATAATTCTTGTTCTCCGTGAACTACTATTGAGCCCAACAACAATTAAATATAAACCTTAGCCACACATATGCATACCTTAACATTTACCCATCTCACACCACAATGACAAATATAAAGTCGAGAAAATTGAACTATGTAAGATGTATATATTATGATTAGGAAATGCTTCATAAACATAAGAACTACGATGCTAGCTATAAAATTCTCCGTATTCAATTTAAAATCAATATTACGAATTTACTGGTTTCATTAAGCATATATGCACCTAACATTATTATGGATATATAGTTAAGAAATAGGCATTTTCCATGTGATTATAAGCCTCTAATATCATTCTAAAGAGTATCAATATGAGTATGCCCTATGATGATTCATAAAACTATTATCTAAAGGTACTAGATGAAGTTGTTTTTGAATCATACAATTATCATACACATGACTCATGATTACACATATGAAAAAATCTCTTAATTCCTATAAATATGATAGATATAATGATTCACATTATTATGGGCTCCAAAAATTCATGGCCTGACCTCTCCGCACATTTTTATGATGTGGGCTCCGAAAATTCGTCCCCGGCCTCCGCTCGCTCTTCTTATTCGGCGAGGGAGTTTTAACGAACTAAGTCCGAGTAAATTTTGGAAGGCGATGGGTTTGTTAGATAGAACACTACCCAGAGATTTTCGCCCTCATTTTTACGAGGACTTTATGATCTGAGTTCTGGTTTCCTATAGGGCAAGCCCCTTATAGTTAATTACCCTCCCGATCACGAGAGAGAACTTTCGATTAAGGCTAGTCGTCAATCATATACGTATATAATACGTGTATCTGGCATATAGTAGCAGCATGGATATGGAATTGGAAAGATTGGATATTGGTAGAATTTGGATTTGAAAATTGGGTTTGGATTTTAGAATTTGGGAAATGTTTGAAAAGTTTGATATTTAAAATAGAATTTTCACCACCCTAACACTTGCGGATGGTGGGGGAATGGATGATAGACCGATCAAGATCCCATGGTTCCGTCGTCCCGGGCCATCGTGGTCCCTGGTTTACTTAAGTCAGAGAGGTAGTCGACCCAACCTGACAGAAGATCTTGTCGAACAGCCATGGGTTCGCTTCGTCGAAAGGGGACCCGTTGTATGACCGGGTTTGAATGTTTGGTCTAAGGGGTACAAAATTTGAATCCACCTTAGCTATCAGAGGGCTTTTGACCTATCGATCATATCCTATTGATCATCATCTCAAGGATTTAAAACCATTAGGAGCGTATTGGCCTCTGGCCTATACCGCTATCTGTGGTGCCATTTGGTGGTTG